GACTGAAATTTTATTTGAATCAGTTCAAAGAGGTAACCAATTTTTTTTGCGGGGGGGGGGGGGGATGGCTTGAACTAGAACTGAACTCAAACACACTGAATGCAGCTGAACACTAACAAACCCCCAAATAAATACTGGTTTGACGCTCTGAGTGGAAAAGAGGTTATAGTGGATAGTAAAGTTGATTCCAGAAAATAAACTAAAGTCTAATTTATTTAGTTCATGACCGGGTTAAAAAAAAAAAAAAAAAAAAAAGGACATTAAACGTATCTAATGAAAGTAGCTGTTGAAGCACTTCAGTTGTATCTTTTGATGATTTTGTTTTAAACTGTGCTTCCAACTTCAAGTTAGTTCCACATTAGAATGCAGAAAAAAGTCCACTTGAAGACACGAGAGCTCACAGACTGCTAGAGTAAGAAAGTCTCAAGTCATCATGAGTCATTTCCATCATTTAAATTTCCTCGTATGCAGACCAGAAATAGAACTGATGTAGCAAACTGAAACAAACCAAGTGGGAAGCACAGCATGACGCCATATACACAGCCTAGGAGCAGTACTGTGGAACTTGGGAGAGGCACCACAAAACTATTTTTACCAAGACAGAATGACTCCCCACCCACATCTTTAAAAGCCTCCCTCCCGTGGAATGCCAAGCAGTGAGCTGTTTCTTAAGTTATTCATGAAATCAGTTTTCTATGTGACACCACATGGAAAGATCTGAGGGACAGGGATCCTATGATTGTAGCATCCTGTGTTCCTGTTAGCAAGTTAGGCTATGTCTGCACTGGAAAGTTTTGGTCACGAATGTGCTGTTCACACCCAAAAGCTGCCAAAAAGAAAGTCACCAAATCATGTTTAAGCTGCCACCCTCTGTTGACATAGCATGGCCACGTTATTGGCTCCCCCGTTGCCAAAAAGAACAAAGCAAGGTGGGTATGCGTCCCACAATGCCTGACACCACCGTCAGTCACTAGGAACTATGGGAATGCACAATGTAGCACAAGGCATTTGCAGAATGTGAAAAATGTCCCATCAGCCACCTTTGTGTTTCATGGCCCTTTTGGGGCTTGTGGCTTCCTTTCACACCATTTGAAACTGCTGCGCACTCCAGCATCTGCTGAGAGAAATCATGGATTCCAGACTTCTCTCCTATGCTGTGTTCAATGTGCTTAGGTCACCGCACACTGCAGCAGAGCTACTTTTGAACTGTCAGAGGAAGACTCAGATGTGGACAATAGTGAAGTGGCATTGCAGCTGTGCAGAGTAGGACATCGTTTTTAGACTAGGGAAGCCAGCACTAAGTGGTAGGATCGCTCCGTCATGCGGGATGAAGACCAGTGGCTACGGAACTGTAGGATGCATAAAGTAACCTTCCTGGAGCTGTGTGCTGAGCTTGCGCCTGACTTGTGAAGTAAGGACACCCAAATAAGCGCTGCTCTCTCAGTGGAGATGTGTGTTACGATTGCTTTGCGGAAGCTGGCCACTTCTGATTGCTACCATTCAGTTGCAAATCAGTTTGGAGTGGGAAAATCCATCATTGGGGCAGGACTTACAGAAGTGTGCAGGGCACTACATCTCATTCTGCGCTGGAGGACTGTGACTCTGGGAAACGTGGATGACATAGTGGCTGGCTTTGCAGAAATGGGCTTTCCAAACTGTGGCGGGGCAACAGATGGGACACACATTCCCATTAGAGCACCACCCCACCCTGACACAGTCAGTCCATTGGAAGGGATGGTACTTGATGTTGCTTCAGGCACTTGTGGCTCATCATGGTCATTTCACGGACAAACAATGGGTAGCCTGGAAAAATGCATGATGCACACATCTTCAGGAACAGTACAGAAAGCTGCAGGCAGAGACTTTCTTTCCAGACCACAAAATTACAATTGGGGGTGTGGAAATGACCATAGTGATCCTCAGAGACCGAGCTTACAGCCCTGGCTTATGAAGCCTTACATAGGGCACCCGGACAGCAGTAAGGAGCAGTTTGTCAGCAGGCTAAGCCGATGCCGCATGGTTGTTGAACGTGCCTTTTGCAGACTGAAAAGCTAGACCTGAGGAAGGATCATATCCCCAGGGTGGTGGCCACATGCTGTTGCTTACATAATTTGCAAGAGAGTATGCGTGAAGTGTTTGCCTGTAGGTGGAGCACTTTGGCACAGCACCTGGACGCACAGTTTGAACAGCCAGATACTCAGGCTTTCAGAGGCAGCCATCAACATAAGGGTGGCTCTGAGGAACCAATTTGACAATGAGGAGGAGCACTGACATTTGTGTGTTTTGGGGTTCCTTCCCTATCTCCTTCCACTACTCATCCTGAGCAAAGCAATCCCATGAAACCAAGGGATGCTACAGACTTCCACAGGGGCCAGAGCATTTGGTGTGGGTTGTGTAATGCAAAATAAATTCACTGAACCTTGCATCAGTGTTGTCTTTACTGATCCCTTTCAATCATGGTCACACACTTAGGGTGTGTCTAGACTACCTAGTTTTGTCGACAAAAGTGGACTTTTGTCGACAAAACAATACCAGCGTCTACACTACCGCGGAGTTCTGTCGACATAACGTCTACAGAACTCCGCGGTTTTGTCGACGCTGGTATACCTCATTTTACGAGGCAAAACACCTTCTGTCGACAGAGTTCTGTCGACAGAAGGTGTTATTGCCTGTAACGTTGCGTCCAGACTACGGAGTTCTGTCGACAAAGCGGCTTGCTTTGTCGACAGAACTCCATGTGTCTGGACGCAAATTGTCGACAGTATCTGTCGACAAAACTTCTGTCGACAAAACGCGGTAGTCTAGACGTACCCTCAGGGAGAATGCTTGCTGGTAAGGGAGGGTAAGGGTTATTGGAAAACCTCACAATGGTGTGAACATCCAGCTGCCAAAGTCACAGCTGCTTTGATGGGAAGTGAAGGGTGCTAGTAAAACCTCATTACCTGACAGTGAAAAGGAATGTGTGGGTGTAGAGGAAGGATTGCTGGATACAGAATTTTGCATGTGCTGCCAGGGAGGCCTTTGGTTCTGTTTGCTTTGCATCTTAGACACTTCAGCATCTCAGTTTAGTCTTCCATGAGCTTTAGTATGTAGTCAGTGGCTTCTGTTCTCAATTTTATCTCCCTGGCCTGACTTTATTCTCTTTTCAATTTGGAGAGTTGAACGTTGCAAAACACCCTTTACTAGGTCCTCCCTGATCCGTTGTGGTCTTTTCCTGAGTTGATGGAGCCTGTCAGTGGGAGAGTATGTCTGCCTTCTCAAGGCTTGGTCTGAAAAACTAACCATTACCAATAGCGTGACTGTACTGTTCCTGATAAGGATAGTGAAATGTTTCAAACATGCACTTTACTGAACAAAACTGGCCACTTTTCCTGTTACCCTAGAAGGAAAAACAGATCTCTCAGAAACACAGCCTCCGGTCATCTTGCACCAACTCCCGCTGCTGCAATATAGCAACTTACCCTATGTCTCTTCCCTTGCTTCATGCTCCATATCCAGCTGCTGAGACTCAACCTGATCCTGTCTGCCTGCCACACTGGGAGATTCTTCAGCGAGCCCTGTACCCTTGTCCACTTGTACTGAAGCTGCTGCCATGGGAAGTATCCACACAATCTTTGCCTGTGGATGTGGGGCCCCCACTCAGGATTGTATTCAGTGCTTTAAAAAAATGGCATGCATTGAGTGCAGCACTAGACCACGGATGTGTCTCCTTCACCTTATGGCATGACTGCCAGAGTTTCTTTATCTTGGCTCTGCACTGCAGGGCGTCTTGCTCATATCCCTTTTCACACAGGGCTCAAGAAATGTGGCCATATATGTCCCAGTTCCTATGGGTCACTTGCCATTGTGATTACACCGATTCTTCATCTCACATGCTGATAAGATCCAAAAGCTCTGCAGTGTTCCAAGCAGGAGAGTGTTTTGAGTAACAGCCACCCCTGTTCCCCTGAGAAGTCCCCATGAGGAACACAGAACCCTGAGCCAGTCAGCTGGAAATATATTTTCAAGTTTCCTGGGATTTCAGAGGAGAGGGGTTCATTTCTGTTTACCTATTTATGTGGCTGCAGAGTTCAAAGCGCTGGCCAGAGTGGCTAATCAGGAAACATCCTGGAGTTTAATAAACTTGATAAAAAGCCTCACGTAGTTCATACTGCATGGTTGTTGACAGTAAAGGGAGGGAGAAGGACAAGAGTCTCTCACAAAGGTGGAAGATTTGTGAGACCAAAAGTGGGCATTTTTGTGACTTTTGTCTCGTTGCAATGTGACAAAATTTAAAACCTCTGTGTTTTGTCACCAAACAGGGGTTTTTGGTGACAAAACTTGCCAGTGTAGACAAGCCTTTAGAAAGATTTTCCAAGAAGAGAAAAAGAGAAAAAAAGGTTGGGGAGAGAGCAGCAAATGCCATATTAACTTTTCTACTGAAACTGCAAAGGGGATTTCCATCACATGAAGAGATTTCTTGTGCAGAGGCAACTTTTTCAATTGCAAATCACAAGGACAAGTCCAGTGCTTTAGGTTTCGTAAAACTTAACCCCCTGTTATCATTATCAATTCAAAGCCACTCATTCACTAAAGCAGCTGCTATTTCAGTTCGGCGGTATAACAAATCCAAATCTACAAGGTGGGAAAGTAGCCCCAAAAAGGCTTAATGAAATGCCATTCTGCCTGTTAGGAGCTTGCGCCATAGAATCTGGATATCCCAACGTGCCTAATGTCTCTTCCCAAAGGAGCAGTCAATCAGCCCAGCAATCTAGACTCATGTCACCAAATTGGCTGAAACTGTAAATACAAACTGTAAACACAGCTCTGGAACAGAAGGAAAATGTTTAACAAGTAATGGGGCAGGAATGGAAAAGGGGCCCATTTCAGGCTGACTCTTATTTGTTCTGCATTAAGGCTACCGAAGCCAGTTTGCAAATGAAACATGGAGCCAACAGTCTCGGTTTTCCTCATCCCTTGAAGATACGGAAAAAGAGAGTTTTAAAAGTAGATAGACTTACGCAGTTTTGCCCTCACTATCCTGTTTGATGGCACTGGCTCCCTTTTTCCCCAGCAGTGAAGCCACTTTCTCTGAATCTCCATTCTCCACAGCTTGCAGCAGCCGATCATCATTCTTATTCCATTCGTTGGTCTGCAGCAAAAGAAAAATTTAAGAGAAATCAATGCCCGCAATATTTCCATGGGGCGCTGAATGACGATACGTACATTTGCCATCTATCACAGAAAACATAAAAGCCAAGCAAAATCCACACTGAAGAGTTGGCACTGGATAAAGATGCTTATGAATAACTAAAATGGATCGTATGGTGTTTGATTTCAAAGGCTAGCAGTAGTTCAAGTCACATCAGATAGACTTCTTTTTAAACTAGTGAGAAGCAGCACACCGCAATTTTTTAGCTCAATCCCAGTCGGTCAATCTACAGCACAGCACTTCAAGATGAATGCCAGTGCTGCAAGAGTTGCTCTCTAAAGCAGTACCGCAGAACTAAACCCATTTGGCCCCTCTTCCAAGTTAAATGAGGTTTATATGAGCTCTCTTCATCTCTCTAGGCCATGGTTCCTGTTTTAGAGCTGTGCTGGAGCTATCAGAAGCTACCTTTTTAATCATATGATACATGGGACAGGACTACCTGGGAGGTAGCTGATTCAACAAACAAAATTCCCTTCCACATACCACCATGTGCCTGCAGAAACCTTTCTAAAGTGAAGTGTTTTCTACAGCTCCCAACAGGCAAAGATATCTCCCTTTGCAGATTATAATCACTTCTACAGGTTAAACCGCCCTGGTCTGGCATCTTCAGGACCTGACTGGTCCCAGAAGAGGAATTTTGCTAGACCAGTGGAGGTCATTTCTGGCCCCTCTACTGCCAGCCCCAACAGGCTTCCTGGCTCCCCCTGCAGCCCAGATGAGACGCCGCCTCCCTCCACCCCCGCTGAGCCAAACACCCAGGTTCCTGGGTCCTGCCATTGCAGGCCAGCTGGGCGGCACATCCCGCCCCCTACATCATGCTGGGCTCACAGGGGCCCCCCACCATGCTGGGACTCTGATCCTGGAATATCTGTGGTCCGGCACCAGAGTTCCAGTTTAATAAAGATGCAACCTATATTACATTTATATGACAGGTCTAAGCCTCTAACTCAGATATGTATTCCAGACCTACCTTGGAGTGAATCCCAAACATTGCTGCAGATCAGAGAAGATCACCAGGCATTTTAATCTCTTTACCCAACAGTCTCCTTTCTGTGGAGGGCCCTTTTTTCTAATTAGTGACAAAACAGTCACCTTTAAGATTACATTTGGGCACAAGGACCACTTACACAAAACACTTAGCAACAGTGCCTCATTCTCTCTATCTGAACTATGGACCCAGTTGGTCAATGGGGAAGATAGTGGGTGCACGCGGACGCGGACACACACACACACACACACACTTACTCCAAAAATCAATTCTGCCTTTCCACCTTCTAATATAAAAGCATAACAGCAGCCATACTGGGTCAGACCAAAGGTCCATTTAACCCAATATCCTGTCTGCCGACAGTGGCCAATACCAGATGCCCCAGAGGGAGGGATCACAACAGGTAATCCTCACATGATCCCTCCCCTGTCACCCACCTCCAGAGAAACAGAGGCTAGGGATACCATTCCTACCCATCCTGGCTAATAGCCATTGATGGACCTAACCCTCCATGACTCTATCTAGCTCTTTTTTGAACCCTGTTAAAGTTCTAGCCTTCACCGCATCCTCTGACAAGGAGTTCCACAGGTTAACAAGGAAGAACACTAATCTATCATCCCACCAAAAGCGTTCTGCTTGCACAGAAGTCAAAGTCATATTTTCACTAACATTACACATCCAGCAAGGAGGCTCTTTAAAAAGATGATGGTTGTTCCCAACAACAGTCTGCTCCTCTTCAACAAGAATGCCCGCAGGAGGTACAAAAGAACCTGATCAGTGCCTTTTTGATAGTTGCTGAATTCATAATAGGGGGGCTCTTTGAAAACCTGCAACATATGAAGCTCTTAGGCATGAAATGCTCTACTGCAGGCCTGGGTAAAATACCCTCCCCGCAGGCCAGATCCAGCCCATGAAGCTGGCTGATCCGGCTCACCACTGCAGTGCGAAGACTCAGGCAGACTCCCTGCCTGTCTCCCACACACTGCTGAGAGAAGTGGCCATTGAGAACTTGCAGGGCTCTGTTTGAACAGCTGTGAGCCCAGGGTCAGGAGGAGTGGTTTCAGGCGCTGCTCCTGCCCCCAGTACAATCCCATTGGCCAGTTGACAACAGGCAGCTTGCAAAGTACTCTGTCTTCTCCCCTTAGGCTCGTAGCTGTTCAAAAACCACATGGCCCTTGCAGCCAGTGCAGGGGCAAGGAAAGCAGGGAGTCTGCTTGAGAAGGCTGTTAGCAGAGAGGCAAGTAGGTAAGTCTCCAGAACAGAGCCTGTCTCTAGTACCCCAACCCTCTGCCCCCATATCCTCTCCAAGATCCTGCATCCCAATCCTCTGCCCCAAGTCACTCAACTCCCTCTTGCCCAAGATCACAACCCAAACCCCTGCACTCTAGTCCCCTAACCCAGGTCACAACTGCCTCTTTCACCCAAACTCCCTCCCAGAACCTACGCCCTCTCCTGCACCTCAATCCCTTACTGCAAAGCTCCCTTCTGCACTCAACCTCCATCCCAGGCCCTGCACCTCTTTCACTAATTGACCACTTTAAAAAATGCTAGGAGTGGCTCCCCATTAAAAAAATATATATATATTGCCCACCGCTGCTCTACTGTGACAGAGGCATTTATGGTGCCTCATTCTTCTCCACAGAAATACTGATGGTTTTCTCTTTAGAGATGTGCAAAATGAGTCAGGGTTCTCACTAATCTAAATTAGGTACATTCTGGGTATAAAAAGCAACTAAAACACATTCTGAGAAATGGAATGGGTGGAATGCTAGTGAGACAGAGTGAACTTGCAGTCAAAGTTTTCAGAAGTACAGTTCAAGTAATTTCTTAATGGGACTAAAGAATCAGGTCAAGGACCTACAAAAGTTACTGAAGGTTAAAAAAAAAAACAAGTAGAATGAACAATTTGAATAGGCAAACATACATAGTATGTGAAGGTTCTGAGTCTGGAATGAGGGGATCCAAGGACAGCAGTATATCAAAGGGAAGGGGCAAGCAAATAAAGGAAGAAAGTGGTTGTCCATCGCATGCATATTATACTCTTAATACATAGTTCAGCTGTGGCATACTCTATTGTAGAATCTAAAGCATTAGTTATACCAGCAAAATTTGTATTCTCACTTAAAACAATAATTGGTTACTATGGCAAAGGGTGCCTTGACATTATGCAAACAGCCTAAAATGAAGCTAGCTGAAAAATGTTTTGAGGATGTTTATAATTAAAAGAACACTCCACCTAAAAATGACATTTCTGTGTTCTTTGTAATGGTAGTTTTTTTTAAAAAAAATCCATCACCTAAGATGATTTAAAACAACAGATCCATTTTTCAGTTTGTTTTCCTTATATATTTGACAGCAATTTTTGTACAGCTAGTTTCGCTAACTTGCTTTTGTGGATTTTTTACACAACAGGGAGAAAAAAATTTTTAGAATTGGAAGGTATGATGGTCAAGTCACAAAAACTGGCATGGGAACTTAAAGACAGAAGCAATACCTTCAAGTACTTCATTAATGATACTTAAATGGAGTAGATTTAAAAATTGATGGTTCCCCTTTAAATTTGGCAACATGAAACATTAACCTACCTTTCCATGAAAAGATGATAAAAGCATCTATTCTTAAGTGCTTTTCATGTCCTCAAATGACCAGTTCTAGTTCTCAAACACTGGAGACTAAGCGATAGGAAAACATTAAGATTATGACTGTTGCTGAAAATCCTTGGCATTATGAACCTTGATATAGCAACAATGTTGCTCAATAATAATTTAGAATATAATCATATCCTGCAGAATTTAAAATGTTAACCTATAGCAAGCAACTAAAATTGAAGTGTTATTTGATTATATGCCAGCAATTAGTTTGGCAGTATTCAGTCATCTACAAGTCACCACTCTAGAACCACAACATGATAGGCAGTTTAGCCTTTTCCTGATTTCAGTTAATTTTTCCCTAATGTGACAGAGACACTATGACCAGTGTATGCAAAAGGCACTGAATCCCAGGTTCACAGTCACACCGCTCATAACCTGATTTCAATACAACTGGTCCTAAATTATATGCGGATATCTATCTAGTGTGAAAGATGTGCCAAAGAAAATATATAAACAGCCCTTAAACTGGTCAAATATGCAGCATTTTGACTCCAGCTCTTATTACAATGATGCCAAATTTAGTGTAATAATAAAATACTGTGCTGCATGGAGTTACTTTTTTTAAAAGGAGAGAGGCATTACTTTGTCTTGTAATACTCAGTTTTCAACCATTTTTTTCCTAACTCAACATATGCACATACATTATACAACTGAGACTGGAGAAGGGTTGCATTGTTCACCTGATAGCTCTTATTAACACGTGCAATTGCTAAGATGATTCTACCCTACCTAAAAATTAAACAGTCTTGAAGTTGGACAAGTTAATTAATGCACTCTCACAGGGAGAATACTTATTCATGGCAGATTAGCGCACATTTCAAGACTACAGAGCTACTGGCATACTATTTAAAAAAGAAAATGGTAATTTTTCCTTTTTTTGAGGAGAAGGAAGTAGATGATGGAGGTAGAGTAGCAAGATCTGTCTTCAGAGATAGCAGAATAAGCATAATGAAAATAGGCTCTCTAACTGGTGTCTCCTCTTCTCATTACCGAAACTATTCTTTTTTTTTTTTTTAAAGCAATTCTGAGTCAGAATGGGCCTACTACACGAATAAGCTTGAATTAATTAATCCAATTATATGTTTTTAGATTGTTTTAAATGAAACCACTACATAACACCTCACACTCACACTCACACTCACAGAGAGATCAATGAATTTTTCTGGAAAACTAAACAAAAACAAGGGCAATCTT